CCCGACGAGATCGCTCCGATGCTTAAATTAGTAACTATGATGTGCGAGCTAAGAGTTGAGAAATAGGAGAGCTAGAATGCACTTAATCACGTGTACCTGTGTCTTGGGGGTCGATGCCCTTATATAGTTGAGCTACCGTGGGTCTCACGAAACGGCTTCGGGATCCTTGGCCCACGTAGGTGAGATCCATTATGCGTTTGGAAGCCTATCGTTACCTTCTGATTCAGGCGGGGAGAGGATAAGGCTTGCTGTTACATGACATGATCCCGGGAGATTCAAAGTCCATTGAGAAGTTTCTAGAATCAATTACATATCACTTCGGTACTCGGGTGCTAAAGTGGCTTTGATACCGAAGTGCCCAAACACCTAAGCTCCCGAACTACTGACAAAGTTGTCCTTGCTAATTGTCATCCTGCTAGCAGGTCGCATCTATATATCACTTATTTATTATATCTGGCCAAATCACCCCTCATCAATATCCATCATCAATCCCATCGGGTCAGAATATTCTAACCATCCGATAGGGATGAGAAAATTGTCATCCTTCACAATGCATAACCAGGAATAAGTCGGCCCAACTATGTATAAAGACAAAAAAGGGTGATATATAAGTCGGCCCAACTACGTATGAGGATAGAGAAAACATTATCTTTATTATGATGTTCAACGCATGTGGCTGAAAACTACTCTAATTTCAGTTACTAGATTTATTAGATTCAAGAAATAAAAATACACTTTTAGCGGCAACTCTCTGTACCACACATGTCAAACTTCATGGATTTTGTTTTCATCCACAGCCTTTAATTTTCTAACTCTTTTAGTCTTTTATAATAAAGTTTGTTTGTCCTGTCTGCATAATGGCATGGCTGTAGCGACGTTTTTTTTAAGGAAAAAAAAAAACTTTACTCATGGAATATACTTATTCATTTTGCACTGTATTCATTTTTGACCTTTCAAATACTCTCTTTTCATCCTAACATTCCTCCACACGTTTCATCCTAAAATGAACTCAGATTTATCAACAATTTGTGTCAAAAATAATTTTTATCTTTTGGTATTTACAGAAATAAAAATAATAAAACACAAATAATTATTTTAGTAATTAAAATTTGTGAATTACATATGACTTGTCATAGAATTATGAACTACAAATTATTTTTCATTCTCATAGATCTAATATTTTTTTAATTTAATATTTTTCTGTTTTTAATGAATTATTAGATAGCAATTATTTTAAATAATAACAATAGTTTAATACATTTAATAATTTTTAAGATGTCATATAGCCTTTAGACATACCATATAGCTAGATCAACATTAGATAATGACCTTTTTAAACACTTTTTCTAGGGGTGGAAACTGGCCGATGGTTTGGATTGGGGGTGCAAGTTGAAGAATTACCTATTTACCAATCCAAACCTAGTTTGGATTGGATGCAATTTGATGAACAGCCTATATTAATTTTAACATGCATAAATATGAGTTATAGCCCAACCATCCATCCCCTCAATTGGATCCCATCAGAACATACGGATGGCTCAGTCGGTATGTTAGTTGGTTATATAAATAAATATATATATATATATATATATATATATATATATATATATGTGTGTGTTATGTTATTTAATTCCTGCAATTATTGATTTTGGAGAGAGGGTTATTAGTGATGTAAAAAAAAAACCAATGTAGGCCAAATTAAAATATTTTGGTGATGTGGATTTAATACTTAAGAAATAACTTTTGGATTCCTTATGGTGTCAACATGTCACACGACCTGGTTAGGTCAACTAATATACAATTAGGCCAAATTAAAATGTTAAGATGAGTGTGTGAGAGAAAGAGAACCTAGACGAATACATGGTTCAAAATATCCATATGCTTGATTCTAAATCTTTCTTATGCTGAATTAGGTAGTGTTTTGGTATCATTAGGTTAGGTGCCTGTTTTTTTCAGCCACATTATTGCCACATAGGTGATTAGACTTTATCACACCATAATCTTGTTTGGTTGGATTATTAAGTATAACTTTTTGGGGGAATTACCATTCAGCCCAGGGTCAAAATTTTTAAGCTCAAAGTACATTTGGGGTAGGTGTCATGGGCAGACATAGGGTGTGGGTTTTTGACCTTTTAAATATTTATAACTCTGCAGTGGAAACAAAAAATCTGCATTGAGCCTGTCCATACTTCTCCATAAATTTTTTGTATATTGATTTAACCTTGGATTATGTAAAAGCCACTTTTAAAGAAAATATTATTTTGGAACATTTCAACCTGAGGTTATAAATAGACTGTAATCCAACTCAAAAATATGAAATTACAATCCCCCTTCTAGTCTATTAATAACCTCGCTATAGACCGCATCCTGTTTTGAATTTGACATTGAACAATAAAAAACCCTAAATTATTATTAATATACGCTATCAATCATTATGTCAATGTCTATGCATATTCAAATTTCAAAACGTAATCTCTACTTCGATAGTGTCGATAGTGTCTTTGTGGGTCATAAATCAAGTCGACTTTCATTACGTACCCGTCTACCCGATACTTTGAAAGGGATATAATCGGGTCGACCGATTTGGATTGGACCCAAATGCATCCAAACCCGATTCAATTATTCAAATTTCAAATTAATTCGAATATTATCTAATAATTAATTACATTTTAACTTTATATGATTGACTCATATAATATAAAATATTGAATTTATTAATTATACATATATAAAATTAATTTCTATATATATATATATTATATTGTTATCTTATATATCAGTCTCGGTTCTTAATGGTATGAGATGCCGGATGGGTTTCGACCTTGTGAATGAATCCATATTGACAGCCCTACAGGTTGTTTTGTTTCATAAAAAGTAGAAAGACATTAACAGTTTGTCTCTTTTTCCGATTTTTACCACCAACTCAGATTTTCTATTCACATTCTCTACCAGCACTCTATTCACTGCAGTCATACATCTTTATCAGTGAATGATTCAATCGGTTTCATTCTGTCCTTAACTCGGTTCTTGACCGAAAACCATTAATTTGATCAGCAATCCATTATTAAAGCGGTCAAACCGTTTACCCATTTTATGTTTATTGGCCATTTTTATTTCAATCTCGAAACCGGTGGTTAGAATAGTTTTGGTTCTGGATTGGTTTTTAAAAGTTTACATCTTACAATATAAGATGGCCATTTGTGGCTGTAATTCAGTATAGGTGTAGAGTGTGGGCAGGAAATCCAGTTTGTTTTACCACCGGAGAGTGGAGACATATACGGTATGCTTGATTCAAACCAACACGACATCAAATTAACTAGCTAGAAACTGAAATTTCAAATTAGGCTGCTTGAAATTGAATATTCAATGAAGGGAACTGGAATATTCATCATCTTCAGTCAACTGGGTCGAGCTAAAGTCCCACTAAATTGGTATTCTTAAAACAACACGACCAATTTTGCATTTTTAGTAATTCAAAGCAAAAATCTTGACAAAATTTATTCTTTTAGCAATTTGGCTCATAGCACAAGTAGGAATAAAACCCATATGCTATAGTACTAAACTAGTAGCTCTACCAGTTTGTGTCGAATTGGGTTCAATTTAAATTAAAATCCCTTCTTAAGAATACACAACAACCGTACATTGCAAAACTTCTGGTCGGCCAATCTCCCCTTTACCCATCCCGGCTAATTGAAAAAGCTGTCTTTCATTATTATAATTCTTATAAGCCCCCTCCAAAGCCAACACTAAGGCAAACTCCCGAAAAGACAATATCTGCTTTGTACGGAGTTTACGTGTCAATTACAGAGAGCTGCAATTGGATTCATAATATTATTATCTAAGGACCTATATATAGTTATTTTTGCAGAAAGTCGAAGAATTCATGCCACATCTGCAGCCCAAGCTGAATGGATCGGAAGGCACTAATAAAAGGTTTGAAGAAAGCAACAAGTTTGAACATCAAATCACTTCGACTCAGCAGAAGTGGTGCATAAGTATATGAAGATATGGAAGCTGAATGGGATCAGATACGACTTAAGGATTGGAAACTCATTCACCTAAGAAGAGGGGATTCATTCATCCAAGAGATAGACTCTTTCAACTTTGATAAAAAACCTTTTGAGAAAAAAACTTCATGTCTTTGACTTAAGAATTGAGACTATATATAACATGAACAACAATTAATTATTTAAACATTAAATGCAAAACTAATGCTACATTTAACATTTAGTTAAATGAAAAACGTGTCTCCTTTTAACTGCTAATCTGCAAAAGGGAGGTAATATTGGTTTTAATGAAAAACTAAGCTAATTATAAATCCACTAACAGGTCATATGATTTTATTTTTCTTCCACACACTGCATCACATCCTCCTCTGTTTTTATATCACCTTGAGTGGGCGAGGAGGTACTGTACTTCCCTACTATCTCATCGACAAAAAGTTGTATGTTCCGATCTGACGATCCACCCTGCGCCACCGCCTTCCTAGCCTCTTCCTTCCATTGTGCGGCCTTCTTCTTCAATTCCTCTGACCTGGGTCCACTGGTAATTTCCTCTATACACATCTCTACTTCTTCCTTACTAACGACTCCATCTTGGTCCGGTCTCAGCCTCAAACCCATTTGAAAGACGTCCACCATGAGCTTGGCATTGGTCGGCTGGTCCGTCCACTGTGGGAGAGCGATCACCGGCACCCCAGCCACCACCGTTTCTAACATCGAATTCCATCCACAGTGACTTATAAAGCAGGCGACAGCTGGGTGAGCCAGCACTCTCGTCTGAGGGCTCCATGACACCACCAGCCCTCTCCCTTCTGTCTCTTCTAAGAACCCAGGTGGTAACTGTCCAGTGCCATCAGAGACCGCGTGCTCTGGCTGCTTCACCACCCATAGGAACGGACGGTTGCTCTTCTTTAGAGCCATCGCGATGTTCTCCATCTGCTTCGCCGATAGCACCACGATGCTGCCGAACGAGACGTATACAACCGAGGAAGGCGGCTTCTTGTCCAGCCACTCGATGCACAATTCTTCAGCTGCCCACATCTCAAAGCCGATGTCGCGTTGTTCTCCGTCACCTTCACCCAGCAAGGCCGACGGTACTAATGGGCCAATTGGTCTAATCGGGTAGAGCTCCATGGATTCGATCACATCCTTCTCTAGCTCGTAGAAGGAATTACCCAGAACCCACTTCACCTTCTTCAAATTCCGGAACAGCTCGCGGAACATCTTGGGGAAGCTACCAAAAGGATTTGATGGTAGAACGAACGACGGCAAGTCTTCTGTTTGCAAAGATGGAAGTCCAGGTAAGCGTACACTCATGTCTGGGTTGGTTAACGTGGGGAAGGGATTCATTTCGTTGTAGAAACGGTAATAAATGGCGTAAAGGGAGATAGGCTGAATCCAGAACATGGCACAGGGGATATTGTGACGAGCCGCGACGTCGGCAACCCAAGGTACAAAAGGATTGTTAATGACACAGGAAAATTTCTGACCATTTGTGCTGGAAAGATTGTCAATGAGGTTGGAGAGATTTTCAGGGCCGAACTTTGCAAGGCAATCCATGTAGTGGTCGACATCTTTCCCACGGTCGTAGTCGAGGCTAAACCCATCGGAGAAAAACTCGAGTCGGATTGTGGTGGTACCGTCAGTGGCTTCAACGTTGTTGCTATTACTGCTGGCGGTGGTAGAATTATTGGCGATGGCTTTGAGCATACGGTGGCGTGCAATCTCAGTGCTGGCGAGTGTGACGTGAAGACCTTTAGAAGCAAGACGTTTCCCTAACCTGAGCATCGGGTTGATGTGTCCTTGAGAGGAAAAAGCGACCATGAGCACATGAACCCCCGCTGCTGCCTCCTCGGTGGCCATGGTTTTTGGTTTTGTTACGCGAAGAGCTGAGAAACAGGAAGACGAGATGAAGGAACAGAAATCTCCGGGACCTCAGTTCATTATATACAAAAGGGACAGAAGATAATTGAATAGTGGAGATTTTTTGTTTCTTTTATTTAACGTAACACAATAACAATTCTACAAGGTAGTGGTAATAGCGGGATTAGATTCCGCGCGCATATCCGTATTACCCAGCTAAGGTACCAACTGAGCAACATTCGATTTGTGGTATGCATCCGTACCCGTCTGTGAATCAGCATCAATTTCGAGCTGGCATTTACCTACTCCAGTAGGTATGGGTCATGCTCCCAAACAGAAGTATGGATACATCCACTGCAATTTTCTCAAAAAAATAAAATGTCACGTGTGTTTAATTAAAACAGTGGCGTGTTTAAAATTTACAGATAAGTTTTTGAAGCTAAAATATCATATTTCGTTTAAGGAGAAAAACAACAACTATCTTTATTTAATATACAAGTGGAGATTTATAAAAGATAAATAACCGAATTACAGCTGGCTGTAGAAGTGCTGTAGTAGTGCAGCTGACAAATTTTAAGCTGTTTAACCGATACAACTGAACTTCTAAATTTTTCTATGTAAATGACGTGTGATATTACATTGAACTATGAATACAGAGTAGTGGTGGTCACATTACCGGTAAAATGCAATGACGTGTTCAAAATGTCACACTGTTCAAAATGTGATCTCGGTTTTGGAGTAATTGTTTGCAATCGTGTCCAGTAAAAAAAAAAAACAAAAAAAATAGATAAGCTCGCAAAGCAGACCTTTGATTTATTGAAGTTACATCAGCACCGACAACATGCACCCCAAAAACGTCATACAGTACATCTTAATCGTGTATCGACAAAATCTCCGAAATGACAAATACGAAAGATATTCTCTCTTTTTTGGTAATCATACAAAAAGATATACACTGAAATGTCCATATTAGGTGTCTTTGCGGCAAATGTGAACTCTGATTTATTGATCTATCCCATTAATAGGAACATTGTGACATATGACACCTCAGAACAATTAGGTGACATCCGGAATCATTCAGTGACATAATTTGTCAAGTTAATGGTGTCCAATCTGGTGGCCTGGCCTAGGCATGGCCTGACACCTGGCCCAGGCGTGGCCTAATGACCTGCGAGATATGTTCGCCAACAAATTCGACATGCATACCCCACAATCCTTGGAGGTTGGCCCTTGTTCCAGAAGATGGTCAACGTTCATGGCAGTTACCTCCGAGGATCTCAGACCAGTTAGACATGACCTCCTGGAGATCTCGGGGGCGGTACGTGAGCAAGGCCTATATAAATGCACCAACCCCAGTAGCAAAGGGGGCAAGCAAGCAAGTAAGCAAGTTCTAGCTCTCAGACTTTGTGATTTTTAGCTCGCAGTCTACTATGAGAGTACAGACTTAAGCATCGGAGCGACTTCGTCGGGTTAACCACCCCGGGTCCTCTGACATTTGGTTCCTTGTAGGTCTCTAAAGAGCAATGAAGCTCATCAATTCAGCTCACCACCAGGCAACTCGCCACCTGGTCAGCTCGGCACCTCACAGGCAGCCCTGCACCTGGTTAGCCCGGCGCCTCACAAGAAGCTCGCTACCTAGTCACCCCAGCACCTCACAGGCAACTCGACACCCAGGCAGATCGGCACCTAGGCAGCTCCACTTCGCCCTCTAAGTCATCGACCACTTGGAAGCAGACCAAATGACGAGGTACTTAGCCAAAAAGATTGATACATGACCAAAAATTGATTCTTCAAATGGCGCCGTCTGTGGAAATCGCTACAAAAAGCTAAGTTCTCATCCTCTAAAAGGCTAAGTCCTCTTATTCTAGAAAGCTAAGTCCTCACTTTTTAGAAACTAAAGCTCTCGCTTTCTAGTTTTCATTTTTTATGAACTCAAAGACTATGCAGGAAGTTGATGGCTAGCAAACTAAGCAGCTCTACCAACTTTATTTCAACTCGGATAAAGCCTCATCAGTCCTCTTCGTGAGGTACCATCTACAAAGATGAGCTCTTCATGGCTTCCACGGGAGTAGGCGGCCAACAGACTGCATGGACGCCCCTACCGGTCGAGCCTTCCAAGGCTCCCGTGCGAGCTGGTGACCTAAAGTCAGTAGTGCTGCCCCTGTAGGTCGAGCTCCTAGTAGCTTCTTGTAGGAGTGGGTAACCGACGTGACTAACGAGGCTGATGCAGTGCAGCCGTAGCTCTAAGGAGCCGACCTGGCGCGGCCTGGCCCAGGCGCAAGCTGGCGGCCTGGCACAAGATTGGCCCGACGGCCTGGCACAGGAGTGGCCCGACGGCCTGGCCCTGGCGCGACCTGGCGGCTTGGCACAGGCGCGACTTGGTGGCCTGGCCCTGGCGCGAATTGGCAAACTGATAAAACACCTCGGCACTACGATAAGTCCCAGTCGCCTCCTCGGCATGGGCAAACAAGTCTCAGCCGCCTCCTAGACATGGGCATACAAGACCCAGTCGCCTCTTCGGCATGGGCAAGATCAAGGAGAGTGGACTACGAGTCGCTCCCACAGCCTAAGGGCTAAAATACCACATAAGACCTAGTCGCCTCTTCGACATGGGCAAGATCAAGGAGAGTGGACTACGAGTCGCTCCCAGAGCCCAAGGGCCAAAATACCGAACTAGCGAAAACCTCCTCACCACATAAGTCCCAGTCACCTCTTCAGAATTGGCAAAATCAAGGAGCGGACTGCGAGTCGCTCCCAGAGCCTAAGGAATTGAATCGACGCTTACGAGCTCATCGAATTATTCATTCCGGGCCAAAAGGAGAAATCAACTCCCTTCGCTGAGTTACTTTCAACTCGGGAGTGGGGGGAAAATGATGAGGGTGGATTTGGCCCTCCAATGACATTGTGACACATGGCACCTCAGAACAACTAGGTGACACCCGGAACCACTCAGGCAACAACTTGCCAAGTTGATGGTGTCCAACCTGGTGGCCTGGCCCAACACATGGCCCAGGCACGGCCTGGCGGCCTGGCACAGGCGCCAACCTGGCGACTTGCGAGACGTGCTCGCCGATAAATTCGTCATGCATACCCCCACGATCCATGGAGGTTGGCCCTCATTCCGGAAGATGATCAACGTGCATGGCAATTACCTCCGAGGATCTCGAACCAGTTAGACACGACCTCCCGGAGATCTCGGGGGTGGTACGTGAGTAAGGCCTATATAAACGCACCAACCCCAGTAGCAAAGGGGGCAAGCAAGAAAGTAAGCAAGTCCTAGCTCTCAGACTTTGTGATTTTTAGCTCGCAGTCTACTATGAGAGTACTGACTTAAGCATCGGAGCGACCTCACCGGGTTAGCCACCCCGGGTCCTCTGACATTTGGTTCCTTGCAGGTCTCTAAAGAGCAACAAAGCTCATCAATTCAGCTCGCCACCAGGCAGCTCGGCACCTGGTCATCTCGGCATTTCACAGTCCCAGTCGCCTCTTCGATATGGGCAAAATCAAGGAGCGGACTGCGAGTCGCTCCCAGAGCCTAAGGAATTGAATCGACGCTTACGAGCTCATTGAATTATTCATTTCGGGCCAAAAGGAGAAATCAACTCCCTTCGCCGAGTTACTTTCAACTCGGGAGTGGGGGGCAAATGATGAGGGTGGATTTGGCCCTCCAATGACATTGTGACACATGGCACCTCAGAACAACTAGGTGACACCCGTAACCACTCACGCAACAACTTGCCAAGTTGATGGTGTCCAACCTGGTGGCCTGGCCCAGCACATGGCCCAAGCACGGCCTGGCGGCCTAGCACAGGCGCCAACCTAGCGACCTGCAAGACGTGCTCGTCGACGAATTCGGCATGCATACCCCACGATCCTTGGAGGTTGGCCCTCGTTCCGAAATATGGTCAACGTGCATGGCAGTTACCTCCAAGGATATCAGACCAGTTAGACACGACCTCTTGGAGATCTCGGGGGCGGTACGTGAGCAAGGCCTATATAAAGGCACCAATCCTAGTAGCAAATGGGGCAAGTAAGCAAGTCCTAGCTCTCAGACTTTGTGATTTTTAGCTCGCAGTCTACTATGAGAGTACTGAGTAAAGCATCAGAGCGACCTCGCCGGGTTAGCCACCCCGGGTCCTCTGACATTTGGTTCCTTGCAGGTCTCTAAAGAGCAACGAAGCTCATCAATTCAGCTTGCCACCAGGCAGCTCGGCACCTGGTCATTTCGGCACTTCACAGGCAACCCTGCATCTGGTTTGCCCGGCGCCTCACAGGCAGCTCACCACCTGGTCAGTCCAGCACCTCACAGGCAGCCCGGCGCCTCAGAGGCAGCTCGCCACTTGGTCAGCCCAACACCTCGTAGACAACTCGGCACCCAGACAACTTGGCACCTAGGCAGCTCCACTTCGGCCTCTGAATCATCGGCCACTTGGAAGCAAACCAAATGACAAGATACTTAGTACATAAAATTGGCCATCACCCAAAAATCGATTCTTCGAATATGAGTGAAAAAAATAAATGCACTCTAACTCAGAAAGCTGAAAATTACAGCCCCCTCCTGTTGCCCCTCCTATTAAATCCCTGTCGCAACCTATTTAGTATTTTACACATGTATATTAATCTCTGCATCATCTTTTGCTCGATGATGAATAAGTTGACCCTGTTAGTTTTGAAGCTCCCTGCAGTGTGTAGTTGTTGGTGATACAGCGCGCTGGAGAGGTATAGGCTTTTCCTCAAACTCGCATATCGTCTTTGCCCTATGCCAAGGTGTCCATTGCGCCCCAACAGTGCTCCCGCTTCGAGCTGTCATTCTCTCGCCATCCCCTTTGCCGGAGTGCTGGTTTGGTCATTGCAACTTTGTGACCTTAGTCCACTTATCTGATGGTCTGCAGTCTTAATTATCTGATGTGAAGAAATACAAATGCCAAATGCCAACTTTCTGGATTCTGGAAGACAGGATATTAATGCCTAGTCAATTATCAAATGTTATTGTGTTCAACCACCTCGGATGAATATTACAGCCCCAATTTTCTGGTTGTTAATTTCATTATTGTTTTTGTCTGAAAATTTTGGTTTACATCTATCTATGACCTTTATCCACTACTACTCCTAAAGAGGTGAATTCATTATTTGAATCAAGTTCTTGTTTACTTTGTTCTTGTTCATTCTTATCTTCCTGTCAAGGAAAAAATTTAAATTCTTGGTGATCAGGACAATTAATAATGTATAGTTTTGCAATATCAAATGGGTGTGACAACAATGGCTGGCAGATTGAGGTGGGCATGACCAATTATAGACAAAAGAATTCTCTAAGAGGGGAAAAGAAATATTTTTTGTTT